CCATCCACCCAAAGCTTGTGTTCTGTCTTCGCTCATGTTCCCAGCATGCCTGTAAAATCCCTTTCGCAGGATGAGACACCCCATGTCCCTGTAGGTTGACCCAATAATTCATTGCCAGCTGCGGTCTCCTAATCTGCAATGGCATATCCCCCATCTCCACCTGTAATGCAGCCACTGGGGACGTTCGAAACGCCCCAATACATATTCTGAGTCCTTGCCCCTGTATGACATCTACCCTTTCCAGTGAGGTCCGGGCTGCCGAACCATAAGCTATACTTCCATAATCTATTACAGATCGGATCAATGCAACATACATGGTCTTCAATGAGGAACGCCCAGCCCCCCACTCCTTCCCCGTCAGACAGCGCATCACATTTAGCACCTTCTTACACTTTCCCACCACTCTCTCAATGTGTTCTGCCCAGGTCAGTCTAGTATCAAAGTATACCCCAAGGAACCTGAAGGCCCCCACCCTCTCCAGGTTTCTCCCATATAACCTCAAGCATACCTCATCTCCCACCTTCCTCCTGGTAAAGAACACTGTTTGAGTTTTCTCTACAGAGAACCTGAATCCCCACATTAATGCCCACCGCTCTACCTGATCAATTGCTTCCTGCACCTTCCTGACTATGTATGGCACATTTCTTCCCCTCTTCCATAAGGCACCATCATCTGCAAATAACGACCTCCCTATATCCGGCTGTACTTGAGAGTAAACATCATTGATCATGATTGAGAACAACAGAGGACTAATCACGCTCCCCTGCGGTGTACCATTATCCACCAAGTAGCTGCCTGATAAAGATTTCCCCACCCTCACCTGGATAGATCTTCCAAACAGGAAATCCTTTATCCAGTTGTACAGTCTTCCTCCTACCCCCATAATATCTAGCTTGATTAACAACTCCTTTCTCCACATCAAAAAAGACAGCTACAACAGTCTCCTTGTTCACCTGAGCCTTCCTGACCTCTGCTTCTAAGCAGAGCACTGGATCCATAGTTCCCCTACCCTTCCTGAACCCACTCTGATGTGGCGTTACTAGCCCTCTGCTCTCCGGGAAGTAAGTTAGCCTCTCCGTGATCATACGTTCTATAATCTTACATACATGTGATGTTAAAGCTATTGGCTGATAGCTTGTTGGCTTCGTTGGATCCTTCCCGGGCTTCCGGATTGGTACCACTACTGCCTCCTTCCAACCAGAGCATATGAGCGGAGTGGAGCGGTGAGAATCTCAGCTCCTCGCTCACGGAGCTGTTCACCCCTCCGCTCCCCCCGCTCAAAGCCACATCAGGCCAGTCCGCTCATTATCGCTCAGCGCTCAACGCAGTTTGCATCGCGCTCCACTCAAATCGCCCCCCGCTCACTCCAAAAAAGGAACAAAATCTGCATGTATTTCACTTTTAGCTTAAACCACAGCCTTACTTTATCTCCCCGAATTTGTTGCATACAGACTCATCTCGGATTATCCATTCTGTCTTGAAACGGGGATCTAACACTGACGCTAAAATGAGATGTTAATCAGTATAGTATATTCCATAGCGAATTGACACGTTGTTTGCCAATGTTTCTGCAAAAGCAGCGATGCCCATTGGAAGTGCAGCGTGAGTGTAATCGGTGAGCAGGGATTTGATTTCTGTGACAGCAGGGAGGATCATCCCCAGGTTCCCCAGCTCCTTCTGCATTTTGTCTGTGAGGTCTGCTAGTGGTGTCAGCACACTGACAAGGTGCGTCAGCTGCCGTACTTGATTCAGGGTGATGTTAGCAACATTAGACTTGAGTTTGTTTTACCATAACGGGTCTTTTTGGAACAACCGGATGAACGACTGAATCATCCGCAGCTGGCTGCTCCATCGAATGGCGCAGGCATTTGTGGGGCGGACACCTAATTGGTCGGTTTCCTCTGTGCTCTTGCGTACACTTTTCACCAGGTGCCCGACTTTCACTAACAGCCTATTAATGTTGTCGTGCTTGTTAACGGCGTTTTTGATCGCCAGCTGAAGCATGTGAATGGGGCATCTCAGATGTAAATTTGACAAAGTAAAGTACTGATTTATCATAGTTTCTTGGGGGAGTGTAGCCCGGTTGAGCTGCGCTGGCGAAGTGTTGCATCCCTTCGCGTTCTCCTTTACTCAGCGGTTCATAGTCCATGAAAATCATTTCAAAAAATGCTACATCCAGCTCTCTTTTTCTCTCCCTTGTTATGGTTGGGCCTTTGCGTGCAGTGAATAAACTTTTGAATTCCTCAACCCTTTTCTCTTGTTGCTGCTGCTGCTCCTCTCGCTCTATAAAATACAAATTCATGGACGACACAAATTAAATTAAACAGATGGATTCTGGGTCAGGCTTGAGCATGCTTCAGACTCGTGGTGTGAGCGAGCGAAATTGGAGCGGGACATAGGGCGACGCTCCGTCCTTTTAAAAATGCCGCTCTGCGCTCTGTTCAAAATCCGTCCGCTCACGCTCCACGCTCGCTCCCGCTCCACTCCGCTCATATGCTCTGCTTCCAACTGCCTGGTAGTTTCCCCTCCTCCCACACTCTGTTGTACAACACCAATACCTTATCCAGTGCCTCATCACTAAGATGGGCCAACATAACATAGCACACCTCATCTTTCCCAGTTGAAGTTAACCCTCCCTTACCTATTGCTCTTTTCACCTCTGCCCTGGTAAATGGTGCACTCAACGCGTCATTTACATCCTCCCTCCTTTCCAGCACTCCAGGATGCTCCTCTCTCGTGTTCTCTCTCCCCCTCTGCCCCTCCTCTGACAGATTTGCTGAGCTATGCACTTGAACAAATGCTTTGACCATCATCTCTGCTTTCTCCTCATCTGTTACTGCCACATCCTCCCCACTCGTCAACACTGGATAATCCCACTCCCTTCTGATCCCACTCATCCTCTTAATCATCCCCCACAATTCTCCCACAGGTGTCGCCCTTCCAATGGTGTCACAGTACCGATGCCAACATGACCTCTTTACCTGACGGATAGTTCTCCTCACCATGGCCTAGGCCTGCTTATATTGAATCAGATGTTGGAAATTATGCGTCCTTTTCAGTTCTCTAAATGCCCTGTTCCTAATCCTCACCATTGCCCCACATTCCTCCGTCCACCATGGGACTGCTTTCCTCCTCCTCCTCCCTGAACTCTTAGGTATAGCCTCAGTAGCTGCCCCCACTAACGCTGTTCTCACCCAGTTATTCATACTATCTACATCCCCTGTCATATCCGCCCGAGACATCACCTGCTCACTCAGCTCCTGAAATTGATCCCACTTTGCCCACTAAGATCCAGTAATACATGACTCCACCATCGGCTGATTGAGGTCATCTCGAACCTCTTCCCATGTCAACCCTGTCACTCAAATGTCTCCCAGCAGCTTTCACTATTAGTTTAATCCTCTCCGTTTTAGACTCTACTTTATCGGTGCTATTGATAGCTCCTGCTATAAACAGCAGCTTTCTATTTTCTATGTATACCATATCGCTGCCCACCTGCCCCGTAATCCCTGGTCTAGATGCTCCTACCCATCTCTCCCTTGAACCTGTATCTCCCTGGACCTGGACCACCCTCACTGCCTCAGCATATGACACCCTTCTCTCCTGGACCACCCTCACTGCCTCAGCATATGATACCCTTCTCTCCACTCTCACTTGTTGCACCTCCACTGCCTGCTTCATTGCCTCACACCCACTACATGCCACACTATGAGCACCCCCACAGCTGCAGCACTTTGGTTGTACACCATCTCCACACTTCCCATACTCATGCTCCCCTCCACACCTGGCACCTCTTTTTCTCTTTACAGGCTGTTGCCACATGCCCAAACCTCTGGCATTTATAACATCTTAAAGGCTTCGGTACATAAGCCCTCACATATATCCTATTGTTACCTTATTTGGCATTACCCGGTCCTTAAAATTGAACAGAATAGACGTGCTATCTACCCTATCTCCACCCCTTGTTGCTTGCAATCTTTCTGCATTCACTAGAACGCCTCCTCTCAAATTTTCCCTTATCTCTTTAGTGCTAACACTCACAGGCACTCCTGTTATCACCCCTTTACTCCACTGCTTCCCTACTTGGTCAGACCAGTTGCTCGACTCCACCTTACACTTCCCTATTTGCTTCACTCTGATAGCTTTTCCCCCCTGCGCCATGTCCTTACAGAACACCAACAAGCTCCCATCTCTTAACACTTTAGCATTAACATTGTCCCCAATCAACTCTTTTATCACAGCCGTCAACCTTATCAGACTCATCACCCCAACTCCCCCTTCCTCCCTAAACTTCATAATCACTTTATGCTCCTCCTCACCTCCATGTTCCTCTCGTGTCTTATCTTGCCCTTCCTCTGCACTTTCTGCCTCCGAACTTCCACCATCATTGGAATCTAGGTTGCTCTCCTCAAACGTCCTTTTCCGCCTCCTCTCTACCTCCATAGAACTCTCGCTCCCCTTCATACCCCTACTCCCTTTCTCTCCCGCTTTCTTTTTCTCTTTCTTACTCCCTCCTTTATTTGTACCACTATGTTCCATACTTGCGTCCCTTTCCTCTCCATCACTATCTCTTACCATCTCTGACCCATTCACACCACGGCCGTGCCGAACCTCCGCCACACCGAGTAAAGTTTGTTTGTTTCTCAACGATTTCAAAAATCCCTCTCCTCAACAAAGTTCCCGCGAAAATCATACCAGACTGCGTGCACCCAATAACAGTACATTTCATTGGATGTGGGTCCTACAAAAAAGACGTGCCTAATACATTTTATCAAGCTTTATCAACTTGATCTCAGATACTGAATCGCCCTTTCTGACTATCCATATTGTCATTATGTTTCTCTGAGATACTGGGGCTCAGACACAGCAAGGTAGGCTACTGTTCTTTCTCAATAATTTAATAAAACCACATAACTACATTTTCAGTTGATAAAAGGTATTTCTACTTAGTATACATTTCAGTGGATAGACAGAAAAGAAATATGACATCTTACAGAAACAGATAGTCCTATTTAATATATTTTATTGAATGCAGTTTACCAATGATAGTAATAAAGGAAAACATAATAAATAAATAAGGAAAAACATTTAATATCTAGCATGTTCTCAATTACCAACGGTTACATTCCTCAAATAATAGTCCTGTGTAGCTCAATTGGTAGAGCATGGCGCTTGCAACGCCAGGGTTGTGAGTTTGATTCCCACGGGGGGCCAGTATGGGAAAAAAACAATGTATGCACTCACTAACTGTAAGTCGCTCTGGATAAGAGCGTCTGCTAAATGACTAAAATGAAAATATTTTATTTATCTACTGGAGTTCATCATGGGAGTCCCATGTTCAACCATAAAGCATCTCTCAGCTCTCTCACAGGACTTCTTTAACAGTTTGATCTACTTCTCCAATGGATGATGCCCAGAATGGATGAGGCCCTGAGGCGATGAAGACTTCAGTCTTCTCTGCATGAGGAAGTGTATCTGCCAGAGGGATGAGTCTGTGAACTGTGTTTCAATCTCAGAATGTGGTGGTTGGATCTACTGGAGCTCATACAGCAAGTCCTGAACAGTCACCGACAGCTCCTGAAAGGTGGGTCTCTCGTCTGCCTTCTGCCAGTCAACGCAAGAGGAGATACAATACATGAGGGTGGGGCAAACAATTAGATTACAAGTTGTCAAGCTGACATTTATGTCCATTTCTCTGACAATTATCTTTGACCCCCACATAGCTAGCCTTATCCCAGAACTGTGCTGTTTGGCTTGACAATGACCATAAAAGTTGGCAAGACAGAATTCACAGATCTGGGACCAGGCATTATTCTGGCTACTTTATACTGTACGTACATCCAGCCAACAGCTGGTCATGATGGCGAAGACTCTGTCATTGGCCAGCTGGGGGCGATAGAGACGATGGCCTCGGGACACCTGGTCCACTATCTCATTGTTGTTTAACCGTTCGTAGGGCAGCTTTCCCAAGGTGTAGACCTCCCACATTAAGACCCCTGTGGAGAGCGAGGTAACCTTGTCAATATGTATTCAATTATCAGCAGAGGAATACAATAGTTAGTGAATAAAGACTGGATAGGTGTAGCCTGTTCCCAGATCTGTGTGCTCTAGCTAAGTCCTATGTTCATTGGTGTTATAATGACCATACAGAGTTGACAAGACAGCACAAACAGATCTGGGACCCGGCTAAGATAGGTGGCCTTTACTAACCATAAGCCCAGATGTCGGACTTGCTGCTGAATTTACAGAAGAGCAGGACCTCAGGAGGCGACCAGCGCACAGGGAACTTGGACCCTGCAGAGCTGGTGTACTCATCATCCAGGACATACCTGAAATAACAGGGAGAGTTGTCAATTTGTCATAGAAGTAGCTCGAATTACATAATATTGCTGTAAGAATCAACTGTAGATTTGATTTATTGGTCAAGTATTTCTGCAGTGTGTGATTATTTGTAAAAGCTGCCAGAATCAAGCACAACATTCAGCCTTTACCTTGACAGTCCAAAGTCAGTGACTTTAATGGTCCCATTGGTATCTACCAAGCAGTTTCTGGCTGCCTGAGAAGAACACAGAATTTGTTATTTGAGCCCAGTATTGTATAGTGTAGTATAGTATAGTACAGTACCAAATCAGTATCAAACCTGCTGATTTAGTTTGAAATGAATGGAGTCAGTGGAATAGTCCCAAAAGTTCAAACTGCAAAACCCAGGCCATTTGACTCATATCTTATAAGTACATCTCTTACCAGGTCTCTGTGGATGTACTGCTGAGCCTCCAGGTAGGCCATGCCCTCTGTGACGTCCTTACACATTTCCAGGAGCTGGATAGGGGACATGTGCAGCTTTAGGCCTTCCCGCAGGTAGCTGAGCAGGCAGCCGTTGGAGAGGAACTCTGTGACAATGTAGATGGGCCTTTGTTTGGTGCACACGCCATACAGCTGAACCAAGTTCTCGTGGCGGAGCTTCCTGGTTCAAGCGAAAAGAGACGAGGTTGAACATGTGTTGTAGGCCTATGTGGGTTAAACTGAGCAACACTGTTGCCCTATATGGTGAGAATTTCAGCAGAGGATAAGGTGGAGGTGTTACCATATATACAGTATATTGTACCTCTGGATATATCTCTATCTATGGCTCTGAATGTATATTCCCAGTCCTTTCGGATCAACATAAGTGCCTACAGTAGGAGGAGCTAGGGGTTGATTTGGAATTGGGCACTCATTCAGTACATTTAACCCCTTAGTCCACTGACTGCATCCCTGTGAGATAGAGAGAGCTGTGCTTACATCATGACTTTGGCCTCCTCTATGAAGTCGTCTTCCGACATGGAGCCCTCCTTGATCATCTTGATGGCCACGTCATGCTGGCCCTGCCACTTCCCATACTTCACCACTCCAAACTGCCCGTTGCCCAGCTCCTTGATGAAGGTGAGGTGGCGTGGGTCAATTTCCCATACCCCTGCAGGATGAAACAACAAATTGAAGGAACATTTACAACGTAATCAAGTTAGTAGCTACAGCTAGCGTTCTCAAAATCAGTCATAACTGTTTATGTTACTGCACTAGTGTCACGGTTTCGGCCGAGGCTGCTCCTTCTCCTTGTTCGGGCAGGCTTCGGCGGTCGTCGTCTCCGGAGTACTAGCTGCCACCGTTCTATGTTTCTATGTTTGATTGGTTTTGTCTGTTTTGCTACACCTGTTCCTTATTAGTGTTTATTAGGCGTCCTATTTAGTTCTCTTGTGTTTGGTCAGGTGTTGTGTGTAATTGTTCCTTGTCACGTTGTGTGTTAGTTCGTTTATTCTGTTCTCTCTGACTTTTGTGTTTTGAGAGAGAGTTCCGCACTTTGTGCGCCTTAGCTTACTTTACTGTTGTGCGTAAAGTTCGCCTGTAGCCTGTTGCCGTGTGTGGCTCGTTTTTTGGACTTTACTAAAGACGCTGTTCGAAACCTCTGTGTGTCCTGCGCCTGATTCTACACCACCTCTACACTCAACCCTGACAACTAGCCTGGTCCCACACTGTATGTGCCATAGCCAACTATTTTATTGTTGTCAAGTTGTACAGTTATATATCTTCGGCCTGCCAAAACACAAACAGACCGGACCACCAGGCTATAAAGATAATTCCCTCTCAATAGGAATGTATTTAAAGAACACACTCACCATACCCAAGCCCTGCTGTGGAAGGGGCATTTTGTGCACGACTTGACACAATGTATTTCAGCCTGCTGACCATACCTGGAATGGGAGATGATGGACAATATAGTGCCTTCAGAAAGTATTCACACCCCTTGACTTTTTCCACATTTTGTTGTGTTACAGCCTGAATTGAAAATTTATTAAATTGAGATTTTTTTTTGTCACTGGCCTACACACAATACCCCATAATATCAAAGTGAAATTGTTTCTTTGAAATGTTTACTAATTAATTATAAAATGAAAAGCTGAAAGTTCAGGAGTAAATATTTGCTTAACAAGTCACATAAGTTGCATAATAGTGTTTAACATGATTTTTGAATGACTACCTCATCTTTGTACCCCACACATACAATTATCTGTAAGGTCCCTCAGTCGAGCAGTGTATTTCAAACACAGATTCAACCACAAAGACCAGGGAGCTTTTCCAATGCCTCGCAAAGAAGGGCACCTATTGCAGACATTGAATATCCCTTTGATCATGGTGAAGTTATTAATTACACTTTGGATGGTGTATCCATACACCCAGTCACTACAAAGATACAGGCATCCTTCCTAACTCAGTTGCTGGCGAGGAAGAAAACCACTCAGGGATTTCACCATGAGGCCAATGGTGACTTTAAAACAGTTAAAGAGTTTAACGGCTGTGAAAACTGAGGATGGATCAACAACAGTGTAGTTACTCCACAATACTATCCTAATTGACGGAGTGAAAAGAAGGAAGCCTGTACATAATAAACATATTCCAAAACATGCATCCTATTTGCAACAAGGCACTAAAGTAATGCAAATAATGTGGCAAAGCAATTAACTTTTTGTCCTGAATATTAAGTGTTATGTTTGGGGAAAATCCAATACATGACATTACTGAGTATCACTCTCCATATTTTCAAGCATAGCGGTGGCTGCATCATGTTATGGGTATGGTTGTAATCGTTAAGGACTGGGGAGTTTTTCAGGATAAAAAAAGAAACGGAATGGAGGTAAGCACAGGCAAAATCCTAGAGGAAAACCTGGTTGTCTGCTTTCCACCATCAGCAGGACAATAACCTAAAACACAAGGCCAAATCTACACTGGAGTTGTTTACCAAGAAGAGTGAATGTTCCTGAGTGGCCGAGTTCAAATGTTGACTTAAATCTACGGCAAGGATCAAGAACCAATTTGACAGAGCTTGAAGATTATTTTTGTACTTTTACCCTTTTTCTTGATATCCAATTGGTAGTTACAGTCTTGTCCCATCGCTGCAACTCCCCTACGGATTCGGGAGAGGCGAAAGTCAAGAGCCATCCGTCCTCCGAAACACGACCCTGCCAAGCCGCACTGCTTCTTGACACACTGCTCGCTTAACCCGGAAGCCAGCCACACCAATGTGTCGGAGGAAACATCATCCAGCTGGCGACCAATGTCAGCTTGCTGATGCCCGGCCTGCCACAAGGAGTCGCTAGAGCGTGATGGGACAAGGAAATCCCGGCCGGCCAAACCCTTCCCTAACCCGGACGACACTGGGCCAATTGTGTGCCGTTTCATGGGTCTCCTGGTCACGGCCGGCTGTAACACAGCCTGGGATCGAACCTGGGTCTATAGTGCCTTAGACCGCTGCACCACTCGGGAGGCCAGAGCTTGCAGAATTTTGAAAAGAATAATGGGCAAATGTTGCACAATCTAGGTATGGAACGCTCTTAGAGACTTACCCAGAAAGCCTGTAATTTCTGCCAAAGGTGCTTCTACAACGTATTGACTCAGGGGTGTGAATACTTATGTAAATGAGATATTTCAGTATTTAATTTTCAATAAATGTGCTAAAAATTCTAAAAACATGTTTTCACTTTGTCATTATGATGTATTGTGTTTAGATGGGTGAGAACAAATATATATTTAATCCATATTGAATTCAGGCTGTAAGGGGTATGAATACTTTCTGAAGGTACATTATGATGAAGCTGTACTGTTACACAGATGCATATGAAGTGATGTGTTTCCGATTTGTTTCCCAAAATGTCCTGGTTTTCCAGAAATCCCAGGTGGAAGATTCCCTGAATCAGTAGGGGATAAAAAGGAAATCTGGAATCCTCCAACCAGGATTTCTGGTAAATTGGACAATTCTGCAAAAGTTGGAGTTGTACCTGCTGCATTGTGCTGGTGGTAGTTAATGAGGTCTGGGATGCTGCTGAAATGGTGCTTCTCTGCCAAGTAGAACTGGCCTTGTTGGGTGGTGCAAATGTTGTAGTGTCTGCAACTACCTGCAGTCTCCCTAATGGGGAACAGTGAATAGAGTTAGGTTTGGTTTGATTGAGTAGAGTTACTAGGTTGTGTTAAATGGATAGACATAACACTCCAAAATCAAGGTTTGTCAGATGTTTTCAGACCTCAAAAGTAGCCTAATACCAAGATGAGTCCACATCCCACGCCATCAGTTGTGTAGATCTAGCTATATGCCTCAACCCCAAATGAATGTAAAAGATAAGCACTGCAACTCTAGAAATTACATAGTTCTTATCTCTTCTGTTCATTTTGGATTATGGTGTAGAGCTGAATCTTTGATTTTGGAGTGTAATGTCCCTTAAAAAAATGAGTTTCTTTTCATGGGCTGAGAATATAAAAGTAACAACAAGGTGCTCAGTTCACCGACACTTTGGTTGCATCCCAAATGGCACCCTATTCCCTATATCCCTCAAATTCAAATCTGGAGCTCGAAGCCAGTTCCACTGCCTTTTCTCATTCTTCCCCTCTAGTCAGGGACTGATTTAGACCTGGGACACCAGCTGTATCAGGTAGAAAAGAAAACCTGCAGTATTCCAGATTTGAATACCCCTGCCCCATATAGTGTGATACTTTTGACCAGAGCCCATCAGCCATTTAGGACGCAGGCTAAGACCTATGAAAAGGTAGTGCAGAAAGAATAATCCTGGTTTACATCTCTCTTCCTCTGCAGGCGACTGTTTCCGCTTTCATTATCTACTGCTGAGCAGTTCTTCTCTTGACTGTCCATTCATGGTCTGCATATGACATTGCATCCAATTCCTATGTAGTGCACTACTTTTGACCAGAGCCCTATGGTCAAAAGTAGTGCACTACATAGAGAATAGCGTACCATTTTGGACGCATTCACAGTTTTGACTAGTGGATAGACCTACACACAGGATGCGTCCCAAATGGCCAGGTCAAAGGTAGTGGACTATAAAGGGAATAGGGTGCCATTTAGGATGCTGTACACAGTACACGGTCTGCCTGCCCTCAATGAAAGGGAAAGGGAAAATAAACTCACCCGCCCTTGGTGAACACAGAAACGGTGTACTTCCCAGCTTTGCTTGAGTCTCGTACTAAGAAACCACCATCTTTGTTCTTGGAAAATACAACATTATACATGTTTTAGCCACAAACCTCAATTAGAGGAGATATATACAAAGCAGAAGTAGTATTGCTCGGTCGTTCAGCAGCATCAGTATTCAATAGCAATGTTTTGTCATTCTAAGCTATTTTACAGATGATGCCACAAGGAAGATTGGTGCCCTGATAGCTACAGTAGAAAGACCACAGCTCAGAGGACCACAATGAAATTAACTTTTTTATGTTATCCTCAATTATTTCAAATGCAGTGTATGCTCTTGTGTGGCTGGTGTAAGCATAGGAGAAGAACAGTATGACAACTGTTTTTTCATTGGCATTACCTCGGTCTTCAACAGATTCTCTGCCTGGCTGCGGTTCATGCTCTTGCAGTACCAGCTGAGAAATAGAGAAGGTGAAATGTGCATGCTTTAAACCCACTATGGTTGACCTGACCTCATAGCAACGGGTATTAAAGCAGGTCCCATGAAGCAGTATTCTGCTGAGTCATGTTAATTAGGCACTAAATGGAAGAAAACTGGGAGGGACCACCTCGATTTGTCCAATAAGTTGAAAAAAAATATCTAACGTTTTCTGTTGAGCGCTCCTACTGAACATGGCCCTGGTGCAGGGATTTCATGTGTTCGGAAGGTTAGGTGACTTGGTTCCTCATTCTTTGGTTCCCACAAGATTAGAGAGGTTTAGGGTTTCAGATTTAATCCTATCATGTTAATGCAATGTTTAACAGCAAGATAATTCCATACTCACTCAAACCTTTCCAGTTCATTTCCAGCCTCCACAACGTAGTTACTGGGAATGTATCCCTCCTTCCTGCAAATGAAGGCCACACAGAAAATCTCCTGATAAATCAATGTGCATTTAGTAGATTAAAGACATAGGGTGACATCTTCATGCTGCAAAACAGTTCACATCTGTGCAAAACATACCGTAAACGTAGAATTTTAATCCAAATTATAATCTAGCTGTGTGATTCAATTTAACACTTTTCCTCAACAATATGCATTATATACATAGGATTATTTAACTGAGTTTAGTAAACTCAGTAATGTATAAATGGTGCCTTTTTATGACGCACATTTGAACATCTGGTGAAGGAAAATGTCAAATTAAAATCACACTGCCAGATTAAAATGAGTTTTACTGTACATTTTTACACAGATTTGAACTATTTTGCATCATGAAAATGTAGCATGTTAAAATGCTAAAACAGCACATATATCATGCAAACAGTTTGAATGCATCAGTGACTTTAAAATGACAATACCCCTTAACCTAGATCTACTGATCATCTCACCAGTCCTCAACTCTATTCTTGGGAGTGTGGTATTGCTTAGTTACCGGGCCAAGGGTTGGTTAGGGCTTTTTAATGTGGTTTTCTTGTGCTTCTTGGTGATAGGGCTATATTGTGTTATGTTTTAGAAGTGCTCTTCCAGCACACACACACAGCAGGTAACATTTGTCATTCTACATCATAATGGTATAATTTTCCTGTTGAAATCGGGTTTTCTGTCACATAACCAGATTACAACCAGGTAAAACAACCAACTTTTGAGCACCTACACACATACACATACTACATGCATTGCGTGCACGCACAACCCTTTCCCGCATCTGTGTCTTTGCAATCTCCTCTCTGACCCGTATTTGTCCCTGGCCCTCCACCAGTTGGCATCAGACATCTCCAGAATGGTGTACTCCTCATCCTTCCTCAGCTCCAGATCCTGGGGTGTGGAAGGCGTGTACTCATACTCAGCGACCACCGCCATGCCTGCAGAGAGCGCAGGCTGCTCGGGAGGCTGCGGAGGTAAAGGCCTCAAAGGTTTCTCCTGACAAAATGGGAGACAACATTGAGAAAGACAGTTCATATATCCTTCCTGTATCAATCAGCAGTAGAGATACTGTAACTGGATTTAAGTGTAAGGAGAACATGTAAGACTGACCTCTTCTGGCGTAGGCGGAAGTGGTTTTCTGGACGGCCTCCGACAAGTATTTGAAAGCCCTATAAAGGAAAGGGAATCTTCAAGTTTTGTTCTCTGTGACTACAGATGATGCTTGTCTGCAGTTACTGTACCTATAGTAGTTATTTCCTCATCTACTTGTTATCACTTTACTTAAAGCCTGCAGGTACAAGCTTTACATTGTTGTAAGCATGTCTCTCTAGGTATTAACATTTATACTGATTAAAAATGGCTGGTATTAGTCTGGGTCATTATGAGATGATTATATGACATTAAACGGGGGTCATACATGCATAAGACATGTTTTACAATGCATCAGAGCCATATACTGAGGTTAATCTCAATATATGGTTCTGTGATGCATATAACCGCATCATGGTGCATTATACCCGCAGGCTTAAGTAAAATGTTCCCATTTACTTCCTCATTACATAAACTGGTAGAGAACACATTCTGTTTTTACCGAACAGTTTTATGGGAGGCTTTCCCACCACATCACTGACCTACATTCTTGGCCTCCAGCACCCTGCAGCCCATGGCTTGCTTGACTTCCTGCTGGCAGCACTGCCACATGCCGTCCATCCAGAAGCACGGGTGGTACTTCTGCATCAGGTCCTTGTTGAAGCGCATCACTTAACAAGGGGGCACAGAAAGTGGGATGACATTTACATTGGATCAACATTGGCAATTTACATAGACACCGAGATCTGACTAGACAATGGGGCTGGTAGATTATGGGCCATTAGGAAATGTTTGTATCTCACGTCTCTCTTTGTCTATTATTTGTCGGGCACTTTAGTGTTAGGTGTATGATGATGCTGTATACTGACCATGCTTCAGCTGGTGGATCCACTGCTTTCGGACCTCGTCGCTCTTGGCGAATATGTAGAGGGGGCCCTCATCGTAGATTATCTGTGGTAAATTGTGGGGGTTTGGGCACATAGCTGTTTCTGTAATTGGTGAAGTGTAGTACCAGGGAAGGCCATACACTTGAAAGCAATACAATAGTGTAGAAGTGTCTATTTTAGGGATGAAAATACTATTCCCTAAACCTGGCCCCAGATCTGAACGTGAACCACGTTACTGCTTTCTACATATTTGGAGATAAACTAATCAGGAATTTATTTATTGTGCTTCTCAGCCTTGTGGCCCATATCGCATAAAGATATATTGGGTATTTCCTGTCTTTATAGATGCTTTAATATAATTTGCTGCTTCGTCACCATGTCTACTGTGGTGACACCTGCGCTGTTTTTGAAACCCTCAGTTCACCTCGGTCTGCACTGTATAGAGAGTCGGTTTAACTTCTTATTCTTTTAGCATGTTAACCATTTCTACACTGCTGGTTAAAGGAGTTTCTCTCTTGAGATAGACACAGTATATCCCCTTTCACATCTATGCTACCTGAATGGTGTCTATTGGCTTTTCACACTGCATCTTTTTAGCCCAGGGCTAATTGGAATCTCAACTAAGACTGAGCAAAAAGCCAGGAGAATACTGTCAGAGAGTTAAAGGAAGCACACCACATATGCTTAATTAAACATCCACAGTATATGTAGGATATACATTCTGATGTCACTCAACTGGAACAACAGTGATTGAGTGCTTCTCTTTTTATTGTAACAGGACATGAGAAGAAGAAAGAGTCAACTAAAACATCCACAGGTCTGAGATCTGTGGTTGTGCTCGTCCCATTGGTAAGAGACACTGAGCTACAGTATGTTAACTGATCTAGGACCAGCAGGTGCTCACCTGGAATGGGTACTGGCGCTCTGCGGGGGCACTGGGCTCCGGCTGTACTGTCCCCACACACTTGATCTTATCGATGCCCACGGTGCCTTTCAACCCCTTCTTTTTCTGCAGAGGATAGGGATTACAGTAAGTGGGGAAAGCAGCAGGACTAAGGGACAGGTCAAAATTTACTGGGGGGGAGGGGCTGGTCCAACTCAAGGTATCATTTTTTTAATGCACCCCCCTCCCCAAAGTTACAAATATTTTCACATACTGTTTAATAAATTGATCTACCTCCCCCCTCATAGAATGAACTCAAAATAGTGTTTACAACCACAAATAACAATAACAGCACACTTTTGTGGCACAGTCCATGCCATGCAGGGGTACGGGCCAGACGGTTGAGGGTTCGCCTACCAAAAACCAAGCCATGCGGTCGAAGGAATTGATCGTAGAGCTCCGGCCAAACTGAGCAATCGGGGGAGAAGGGCCTTGGTCAGGGAGGTGACCAAGAACCCGATGGTCACTCTGACAGAGCTCCAGAGCTCCTCTATGGAGATGGGAGAACCTTCCAGAAGGACAACCATCTCTGCAGCACTCCACCAATCAGGCCTTTATGGTAGAGAGGCCAGACGGAAGCCACTCCTCAGTAAAACGCACATGATAGCCCGCTTGGAGTTTGCCAAAAGGCACCTAAAGGACTCTCAAACCATGAGAAACAAGATTGAACTCTTTGGCCTGAATGACAAGCGTCACATCTGGAGGAAACCTGGCACCATCCCTACGGTGAAGCATGGTGGTGGAAGCATCATGCTGTGGGGATGTTTTTCAGCGGCAGGGACTGGAAGACTATTTAGGATCGAGGGAAAGATTAACGGAGCAAAGTACAGAGAGATCCTTGATGAAAACTTGCTCCAGAGCGCTCAGGACCTCAGACTGGGGAGAAGGTTCACCTTCCAACAGGAGAACAACCCTAAGCACACAGCCAACACAACGCAGGAGTGGCTTCGGTGCAAGTCTCTGAATGTCCTTGAGTGGCCCAGCCAGAGCCCTGACTTGAACCCGATTGAACATCTCTGGAGAGACCTGAAAATAGCTGTGCCGTGACGCTCCCCATCCAACCTGACAGAGCTTGAGAGGATCTGCAGAGAAGAATGGGAGAAATTCCCCAAATACAGGTGTGCCAAGCTTGTAGCGTCATACCCAAGAAGACTCGAGGCTGTAATCGCTGCCAAAGGTGCTTCAACAAAGTACTGAGTAAAGGGTCTGAATACTTATGTAAATGTAATATTTTATTTTATTTTTTTAACCTGTTTTTGCTTTGTCATTATGGGGTATTGTGAATAGATTGATGAGGGAAAAAAACAATTAAACCATTTTAGAATAAGGCTGTAATGTAACAAAATGTGGAAAAAGACAAGGGGTCTGAATACTTTCTGAATGCACTGGTTCCCAAACCACTATAATTTTTTCTTTCAACTTACTCTTGAAAGTTGTAATAGTAGAATGCACAAGGAGCAATTTCGAAATTGGATAGTGCATCATCAGTTTTCCTCTTGTCATGTCAGTCATTGCAGGCCTTAGAGAGTTATTTATAACTTGTCAGAAATGTCCAGATCAACTAGCCCATGTCAGCTAACGTTTTTTGCTAGGTTTTTTAGCCCATAGATTTTGTTGTAATGTTTGAGTCACTCAAATATCACGTCAATACACATTAGACATGGCAAAATGTATAGAGGGGGGCAGGATGTTCCCCAATACTGGAATGGGGGCCTGAGTGAAACAGTTTGTGAACCCCTGGCCTATAGTAGGGGGTTGGGCAACCTTTTTCATGTGGAGTGCCAATTTACAATTTATCCTACCATTTCGAAAGATCTGCGTGTCAGTTATGATTTTCATATACGCATTGTAGTCTACCTACCTGTGCCCAAAACATTTCTAACTGCCCACAAACTAAATAATTGTATTGCTGGCTACTAGACAGAGGCGCTGTCCATTCAGCACCACGCCACGGAGCTCCACTATACCTACCTGTACGGAGGCGCTGTCCATTCAGCGGTTCTGAATCATTTGTAGGCCTAAGCAAGTCCATTGATGTAGGCTATGTTTTTTATTTGAATGCATGTGTAGGATTTATCTGGCATCTGTTATATGCAACGGTTACTTTCACATTGATGTCGGCATTTGAAGTCGGCCTTGTTGTGACTTGATAGCGTGCATTATGCATCTATTTCATGTTCACTGTATGCGCCGTTCCACAAGTAAATTGATGATGAGGTTGAGTAGTGGTTGATATTGTAGCCTACACGCAGTTCCACAGACCTTTAAACATAATATTGCAGTGATAATTAATGGCTGGGATCATTATAGTTAGTTTTTGCTGTTCTCCAAAATAGCATTCTTGAGTTTTTAAATTATGTAGAAATGCAGTAAATTAGCTTCAACCTTCTAAAAAAAAGTATACTTTGCCATACCCTAGGTTTAGCTGAACTGACGCCACTGAATACCAGTAGTTAAAAAAGGTACTGCAGTCTATATTTGTGGGAGCATGGCTAATGTAGTGTAGTATTATAGTATTGTTATAGTATTAAACTGCTGATCTTAAAGTTAGACGGTTGGGTCATGGTAAATGTATATCATGTAAAACATACAGTACATTAGCCTGGTCCCAGATCTGTTTGTGCTGTCTTGCCAACTATGTTCATTGCCAGATCCGGGACCAGGCTAAGAGTGCATACCGCTTTGTCCAGATCATAGTCGTAGTAGGCGATCTTGTCCGGCGTGAGGATGAACAGCCTCTCCTTGAAGTTTAAAGGGGAGGTCTTCTTCTTCTGCTGGGAGCGTTTTATAAAGATCTCTTCCAGGGGATTGTCTGACATGGTCTGATCAGATGTTATCTCCCTACCTGGAGACAAGACAAATTAATATAACAGCTACAGTCAGAGATGGAACTTAACGGACAATGATATGTACCAAACATTATGACTGTTTTCCTATTTCATTCAGTCATATTTTGGTCCCATAAATTCAAGGCCTGATGGAGTATAAACAGACCAGTGGCTTCAAACACATCAAGTGCTGTAGCAAACCTTGCTAGAGACCGTAGCTACTGAAGGAAACGTATGGTTGACTGTTCTACATCGGAAAGTCATTAATGGTGTACTCTACATGTATTTTACTCATAGTATGCACGGGTTTCCCTGAAACACAGCGAATCACATGCACCCAGGCTGTTTTCACATCTGAGAACTGTGAATGGGCGAAACCAGTTCCCACAGTGCTTAACAGAGTATGGCGAAGTTGCCCTCTAGAAACACATTGTCACCCCTCATGGTTAAGGTTAGGATTTTGGGACGGTAAAGCTGATCCTAGATCTGTGCCTATAAGACCAACTAATACCCAGTCCTTATACTACTAACTACTTACCCACTCTTCATGAACTCTGCGCTGTGCCACTACAGCATAGATCTACAGCATAGATCTGAAAGCATTTGGAAAAGATAGTAACAGAAGCGATTCGGAGCAGGTATCAGTGTATGACTAACCCCTGGTTTGCATGAGCGCTCCTTCTAATGTCAATGACACTCTTTGTTGCCAGTATTTCCTCCTTCGCTGTGGCACAACTGTTTCCTTTACCGACCTCTTCCTGCTTCTCTGTGTTCCATACCACATTGACCCACTTTTTCCCTCACACGATGTCTGATATGGTTAAAGGGAAAGTTCACTGAAGATTTGGGTTTGTTGACTTAGTGCAAAACAATGTGGATTTCTGTTGGCATGCTGGCATACACTATCCCTTTATTTTGATAAATGTCCACAAACTCAATTTTTGGTAATGCAGTTCTATTGAAGTGACAATACTTTGTTGAACGAATATGAAATATGGGGAGAAATAGGTCCCTTTTGTACTTTGTTGAAAGCATAAGACACAGAGACTAATGCAATCCTATGCTCTCTGTATCTACCCCAAGGAGGCTCATTGCACCTTGCAGGGTTCGCCAACCACACCATTATAGCTGTGAACCTCCCACACAAGGCCTCTATTGTTTCGTTACAGCATCAGACGGAACTGGAGCAAGTTTGACAGATAGAGAGAGATAGCGACAGACATTTGTTAATTATTTAGGGATCAGGATAATGGCTCCACTATGGATAGTGGTGGGGGGTGTCACCTCAGCTGATCCCATAGGCCACAAATGCACAGAGGATGA